TTGTCACATCCTCCGTTGGCGGAGGGAGAGGTGGAGTTCGTTGCTGCTTTTGTTGTTGCTGCTGTTGGTGGGTATGTGGTTGAGGAAGGGGGCCCTTCCCTCGGCCCTTTCCTCCTTGTTGTAGAGGGGAGGGGGCCCTACCCCGGCCCTGGGCATCGTGTCTTTGTTTGACTCTCCTCTCCTCCTCTATGAGAGGATCCTTGTCGCGCACCTGACCCCGACTGGTGGGCCTCGGTACTGAAGGGACGATGTTGTTGGTCCCAGAAAAAGATGGGGGCGCAGTACTGGTTGATCCCCTGCCCCTCTCGGCAGCAAGAGATTACCTCCGCCGTAAGAAGTTTAGATCAATTTGTGGGGGTGACATGGCTTCCTCTAGCTCGTCCTCAATGTCTAAAGATTGAAGGATGTTGATGTCGGACCCCGCCACCTTTCCCGAAGTACCAACCTCAATGTATGTAGTTACAGAAAGACTCCTTGATCTCGAGTTCTTCTACTTCAGTGACACCCTCAACTTCCGCCTCGGTGGCTCTATCAGGATCTCTCTCCAAGTCCTGCTTGAAGTCTTGCTGCACTGCTTGGTTGAAGAGCTCAGACCACCGTGAAATATCGAAGGGTTGAGGGAACTGAGAGAATTTCTTGTATCCTGGTGTGTAACCCAGGAGGATATGCCCAGTTCGACCGAAATCGTCGACGCCAACGTGTCCCCAAATAGTGGCAAGGTCGTTTAAAATTCACCGAGCGCCGGGAAGGAGGAGCAACTTCGCGAGCAAAGATGTCTGCGCAAATAAGAAATGATCTCGTTAAAAATTAGCAAGACATTTAAAGAAGACAGACAAAAAAGGCGCAAAGAGGCCGACGTACTTGTCATTCTCCACTGTAGGGGGCACCTCAGACCAGCATACTCGGGGCCAGTTCCTCTCTCCCAAGCCCGCTGAAGACCAATAGATCGTCCTTGTACCCCTTGTCTGAGTCAGGAAAGTGGGTCACTAGATACATGGAAGGATCCCTAGCCTTGAGGTAGAAGTTTTGCTGGGGCATCACCCTCAGCAAAGAATAGCAGAAGAGAATATCGTCGAGACCAAGGTTGACCTCGAGACGCCTGTTGAGTTCTACGACCCCCATTACTATCATAAAGACATTCAGGCAACATTGTCCAGGGACGAGATGGAATCGAGAAAGGAATTGGAGGAGTAAAGAGGACAAAGAGAATCTTATCCCACCCTCTATGATAACCTTGGTGTAGAAAGGCATCGCATCCTCGGTCCTGACATTACGATTGTGTTGGGTAGGGTTAAAATCCTCTATACCGACGTTACTGGGTATGCGATAACGGGCTCTAAAACTCTCTATCTGTTGATCCCCCTTAACTTTATATTTCCCTACCCTCAAGGGACCAGCACTTTGAATCTCGGTGTCAGGGCAGGCCCTAGGTATCTCTACGAAGGAAATTGGGATTACTCCTCCTAAAAAGGTCCTAAGGAGTTTTTTTCAAAGCACTAGGGAGGTTGATGGAGACCAGGAAGGCTACTGGTCACCGAAAAAACCAAAAGGAAGAAGGAAAGGGAAGAAAAAAGAAAGCAAGGACTAACCAGAGAGCTAAGGGAAGGGTCTTAAGGCTTAAAAGGACTCGTTTCGTCGACAAATGTCTGATGGCAAGTGGTGCCGCAAGTGTTTTTGCTCCGATGATGGCTGGAAAGGCGATGGTGCAAGTTGGTTCTCTGAGGAGTTTTCCGGCGAAAGCTCTGGCAAAATTTCTTCACATAAACTAAAGTGTGGGAAAGAGAAGGGGGTTCAGTTTATATAGTAACTGTCCCCATCATTGTGCATGAAACATTAAGAGGCACATTTAATGTGCATAATCTCCAAAGCGACTGAAAATGACTGAGAGCAATGATGAGGTGGTTGGGGCATTTATGTAACCCTTCGCCTTTTAACGACACGTCGCCCCTGCATCAGAAGATCAAAGGGTTGGGGGTAGTTGATGGGACATTTCTGGGAGAAAACAGATCGACGACACGTGTCCTCGGCATCGTTATGATTCCAGCCAGGCATGGTCACGTGTCCTCGACGACACTCATCCCCATCTGCCGAGGAGATAGTGCTCGGAGCCGAGGGATCCCCCCCAATTGGCTTGATCAACACATATGTCTTCGGCTCGGTAAAAATCTTGACCCCCAAGGTAGACAAATGTTCCTCGGTACTGATGTGTTCCTTTTGTAGGCTGAATCCAACCTCTCCTCTGCTTCTACAAAAGATAATGATTGACTGATGGTTAGCCTAGAGCAAGCTAGGCTAATCATCATGAAGATGCTCTGCTCAATGGTCTTAGGAGGAGTAGGGATGCATAACACGCAACCAAGGAGGAGTGGACGTGTGGAATTTGATATCAAATTAGTAGCAAAAAGACCTGAGTACCCCTGCTGACACATGACTAGAGCAAGTATGCATTTAATGAATCATCCTCCTAATGAGACAGCAATTAAAGCATGAGGGTTGAGAAGTGAAGTGCATTAAAGACCCCCATACCTAGGCATTTAATACATCCCCGCCGAGGAGGGGGAATTGAATGCTTGGCAGACCGAGGAGTAAGCTTTAATTGTTCAGCATCCCGATCAGTTAAAGTAAAGTCCATTCCCCCTAAAAGTGAGAGGCACACTGCCCCATTTCTGACAAATATCTATTGAATGGACTATCAGCAATCATGAATTTTTAAAGATATGAATAGTTCTTAAAAATCATTAAAAAGGTACGCAAGAACTTCAAAAAAATAACTACATAGTGCTTTCTTCTTCCCCTCTCTCAAAGAACTGACTTGATCGTCGGAGGGGATACGCCGGAGAGCATTCCGGCACCTTTCTAACCTGTTTTTCTGTGTTACAGGATCCCCTTATAGTCTACCAACCCCGGTCAGGCGACCCAACAAACAATTCATCACCCGTGCTTAGGGCCCCTTTGTCCATCTCAACCTACTTTTTGTTGCCAAAACCTATTTTCGGACGGGCCAAATCTCTACCAGAGGCGATCGAAAATCCTGAAAGCAAACCCTCTGTTCTGTCGGAATTATTATCTTCTCAAACCACAGTTTATCGTGAGAGAGATCTGTTTCTATTTTTACTGTTGTGCAAAAATTAGCATGCACAAAATTTTATCTTACTTACCAAAAAAAAAAAAAAACTTAACGCGCATCTAGCGAAGCAAGCTTGTTTCAAGTTTGTGACTTGCCCAGCTCGATTAGGCACTGCGGACACCATCACCAGCATGTAGTACATAAAAAGCAAGGCAGTCGTGATCATAACCTTACTGCTCCTTCTGCTGATCATGCTGCCCATTCTCTCTCTCTCTCAAGTAGTAGTAGTTGTTGTGCAAGGCAAATGGTTATGTGACAGAAGTTTCTAATATTGCCTGTATTTATAATGAGGGCAGAGAGGCCCAATTCCGTACTGTAGGGTGTTAAAAAGTAGCTAGCTGTGTATGTCCATTGTTTGACTATTACACCATATATTGTCAACAACCCATCGTGGCAATATACATATAGAGAGAGAACTTGTTGGAGAGAACTTTTTTTTGTTATGGGTAATTGCTTATTGTTATTTTAAAATAATAATTTTATAGCATATGAGAGAACAAAACCCTTAAAAGAGAGGACATAAAAGATTAATATTTATCTTTGACAAGGATTGATCCATTAACCTCTTAATTTACAATATTTTTAGAGAATCAAGGATGACCTCTCTAACTAAGCCCAATTGCTTCCAACATGACTGATCAATTGAGTATATATATATAGGCTTCTCAAATTTTAGTGTGCTCAACACTTTTTATTAGATCGTGACAAATCATGTCTAATTATTGAGTTTAAATTCTTATTGAACTTGGCTCAAAGAGAGCTTACAAGCTTATATTTTAATTGAACTCAAATTAATGCACTCATATATCAGAATCTTTCTTGTTGAGTCAATTGATTGCACTTACGTCAGATCGAGAGATGGAAAAATTCCTTAACCAACATGATACAGGCAGCATTAAGGTAATTAATGATATTCTATTTACCACATACTAAGATTTTAAGTGATAGATCATAGGTCTGCATTGCAATTTGCGAGTTTGCAATATGAAACTTTTGGGTTACCAATGGATAAGTTTAATTATTGAACTCTCTCTAACGGCTAGCCACATTTATTTCTTTGGAGTCATGTTCTAGACTAGTTTAAATCACAATGATCAATTATTGAACTTGAGAGAATAGTCGGGACAAGTTTAAACACCGTGTAACAAAAAAAAGTGACATAGACACCCCCAGCAAAAGAAGTTTGACCTTGACATTGAGTGCCTTGAACCAAACCCCAAACTCCCAAACTACATGAAAACGAAACTGTTTAATTGATTACTTGTCCACTAATTTTGCATTGGACCCTATTTTTTTAAGTGTATAACAATAAATAATATATATATATATATATATATATATATATATATGGGCATAAACCCGTGAGATTATCTTCATTTTTTTTAATTATCACATATTAAATCAATTCAAGGTTTTATCCTTAATTATTTGGGACCGGTTAGTAAAGATTTCATGTTAAATGTCAGACCTACAATCTGTAAGTAGGTAGGTATTTAAGCTTAATTTATTAACCTAATTTAACTGTGGGTCTCTTTAAATATTGAAACTTAGTATTATTTAAACGGTCATAATAAAATCGCATCATTACGCCAAATTTTTAAGATTAATTATTGATGTGATTAAAAAAGAGGGGTGCTAATGGGGTGGTTGTATAAAATAAGAGGTTGGTTAGATCATTGATACCCCTACTCTCTTTGGTGCCAATATTGAAGCAATGACCTCATTATTTATAGCAGTTTTGCTCTTTTGATTTCTATAACCAAGTCTCCTACCAGCTGCATGTATATATACTGGCTCTACTGCTCCCAAAACTTAAAATGAACTCGGTAGTGATAGCGAGAGGGCAAAGGAGGAGACCCGAGTTTAATAAAGCTCAAGCCTCCTCCATCCTAGTTCCTCCATCTCGTTTCTCTACCACTATACAATTATAGCGCTTAGCACAAAAAATAAAGAACCCGAGGTTGAGTGCAGTCAGAGCAGCAGAAAGGAAGAAAAATCGATCCATATGCCCATCGTTTAGGTTTGGAGTTATCCAACCTGGCTTTCCATTATTTGATGTTATCTTCATCACCACAGTCAAGATCATGCTGCACAAATAACTACCCATTGCTGCAGAAGACATTGACAAACCAAGCCCCAAGCTCTTCAATCCATCAGGTATTTGTGCTGCAAAAAACTCCCATTGAGCAACATACATGAATGCTTCTGCCACTCCAACAAGCACATACTGTGGAGTCTGCCAGAGAATGCTCAAAGAACTTGTTTCTTTTGCCACTTCATTAGCTAATCTTAACCTGTGTTAAAGACAATAGAAGAGGAAAAAATTTAGAATAAGTCTAAAACCAAGGAAGGGCCCTTACTAGCCTATTAAGCCCCTAACTCAAATAAGGGGGCGAGTGTGGCTTGATGAACCGACAAAAAGGAAGTACATATTAGACTACCTTGCTTAGATCCCCGAATCGTAGCAGCATAGGTCTAGGAGAAGCCATTCGCAAAGGTATGAGCATTCAATCATTTTCCTTAGCGAAGGCTCTCACGCACTCCTATGTATGGATTTCAAGTTAAGCCAAAAAAAAATGTGCCTCTACACTTGGTCTAATTTTTATGTTTATAGAAAGATATATGCATCCAAGCTTCTCTAATCTTCCAACTTTCATCTAAACTAAGTAGTTTGATTCCTAAATATATCTTTTCAAAGAATAACTTAGGGTAATGTAAGATTTTTTACCGAAATTTTAAAAAATTACGAAATTAAAACAATGGGTTTTCAAATTTCATTTCTTGGAAAATCAAAACCAAGTTTAAAATATAGGTTAAAAAATCAAGCGTCACCTTGAAATGAAATTCAAAACCTAAAATTTTGCTAGTATGGCCAAATTATTACATTTGTTGTCATTTTTTTCTCATATTTTTGTCGGTGTAGCATTATCCAACTCGGAAAACCAATAGGTATGTTGATTAGAATTGCATCATTATATGTCCATATTTCTATCAATGAAACCAACTTGTAACAATAAAAAAAAAAAAAAAAAACTTAACCTGTGTTGCTCGACTAAGGCTGCGATGATCATGGCTACTATTCCAATCGCCAACCCTATTCCCATTCTCTGTAGCTCACTAGGAGGCTTTGGCTTTCTTCTTGTAACTCTAACATACAAAGGAACAATAAGCTTGTCATAGCAGATGATGAAAGTTGAAGTACTTAGAATGTCAAATGTAGTCATGCTAGCCGGAGGGATATGAAAGGTCGAGACCAGTGTGTTCATGGCGGCACCTTGCTCGATGAAGAGAGAAATCATTTGAATGAACACCAAGGACGATAACATGGTGCAGGACCATATTGGTAGTAGTCTCAGTACACATTTTACCTCTTCAACTTGTGTGACAGTGCACAGACGCCATGGATTTGGAGCTTGGCCTTTGGTTGATGTCAAGGTCATGTCCTTTGGGGTGATAATGGCCGCTCTGTCAAGAAACCTGTGGTTGAATCAACAGGTTTTTGTGAATTCCAAAACAAAAAAAAAAAAAAATTTGAAGAAAGATTGGCATATTCAAAAATTAAAAAGAAAGTTAGAATGACTATGTAAATTTTTTGGCATATTCAAAAAATTTACTATGTAAATTTTTGGGTAAGATACATTTTTAATCCGCTGAGTATGCATTTCGTCTCACTTTGTTAATTTTGTCACTTTAATGCTCAGAGTTTTTATTTTGAAAATGGTCGACTCAAAAATAAATATGTAAATCCCCAACAGAAAGTGATTGACTAAATATACATTTGGACTAGGACGTGTCCTAGAAATTCAATTTTGTCCCTCATTATTAATTTTATCCATTACTTTGCTCAAGTGCATATGACATTCTGTGACATGCATGTGACATTTTTTTGTTAGCAATTTGATGGGCTGCTAAACTTAAACTAAAAACTTTCGGGATATCATTGACAAAATTGATTGTTGATTAGTAACATCTCACATCATAATAGGGTCCTTTAATAAATTAAAGACCAGTACTGTATTTTATCTTATATATATATATATATATATATATGAATTTAAATTTGCTTACTTGAAATCATTGGTATGGAGTATTCTTCTTGTACCATCTTTCTCATCCCTTCCATGAATTTCATGTAGCCCTTCTCCAATTGAGGGAACTTCAAGCTCCAGTTTTCTCATGGAAGCCACTATTACTTGAGAGAACCTAGAGATGGGATTTCCACTAGGTTTGAAATGCCTATATCTACAAGTCCCACTTAGTAGTAAAATCAATGCAACAAAGCCACAAGAAGTAGATATCCAAAATGCCACCACCCACTTCCCCATATTCTCCAAATACACCAGAAATGTCTCCGCGATCAAGGATCCAAGGTTTAGGGCAACGTAGAAGTAGCCAAAAAATGCAGTTTTCGATTTTTTTTCTTCAGGGTCATCTTCATCGAATTGGTCTGCACCAAATGTTGCTAGTACAGGCTCTACAGCTCCACTTCCTAAAGCTAGTAAGTAAATTGATAAGTAGAAAATTGATGTTTCAGCTGGTGTGTGAGGGTTGCATAGTTCTCCTATCCTGCCACAACCTTTGGGTTCCAGCATAAATGCATGAGTTGACAAAGACAATGTTGCCAGACCCTACAAAACATTATAAATAAAAAGCTTTTAACAACAAACTTTTCGTACATTGAGGCATACAAAGAACAACGGAAATGTGAAAGTCTCAATCAACTTAATGATTTGTTTGGTGACAAAAAATAAAAATCGTCGTGTTGCAGATGATGAAACATCATAATCGAGAAATAAAGAGACACAACATTTCATCTAATTTCATAGCAAACGTATAAAATCAGAACTTATAAAATCAATAACCACAGTTTGAGGGTGCAATGTGAGAAACACGATATTTGATGGATAATATGAGATATGCATGAGACATAATTGAGGGATCAAAAGACATTTCTTTCTAAGTGAGGTATATCTTCACTTACAATAACCAAAACAGCCTGGAATATGATACAAGTGAGGTATCTTCCCAAGTAGGAATCACTGAGAAAAGCCCCCAACAAAGAGAATATGTAAAGAGTTCCCATCCACCTGCTGAACATATTGGCTGCCTCAGCATTTGATTGCCTCAGTACAGTCTTTGAGAACAAAACCATGTTCACTTCCACTCCAGTAAATGCAATAATGGCCAGTCCTTCATTCACTGAACCAAACAAATAATAGAAGGCATACTAGTTGTCAACTACGGTGATGACTCAGTCTCACATCGCTTAGTGTATGTTGATCGATAATTTCACGTATAATTATTGTAAAAGAAAGAAAAAACTTGTAGAAAGTTGGAGGATGAAATTGACATTTATTAAGCTTTAAGGACCAAAGTAGAAAATGGGTAAAACTTTAATGGTAAAAAGTATAATTTACCATTACAAAAGCATTAACCAAAATAGAAGTACAGGAAATACCTAGCAAAAGCATTCCAGATTTCCATCCACCAGTTTTTCTCTTGATTGCAAATTTTCCACGCCAATCAATCGACCCATCTTTAGTGCATGGGTCCGAAAGCCTATTGCTCCCATCCTGTGATAGCCACAACAAGTAACAAAAAAAGGAGAAAAGTTTGAGTGGGTTTTACACTAGGTTTGGTAATATTATGTGTTATACATACATAACGAGAAACTGTCACAAAACTAATTTATCAGACACATAAGTTGGTTTTTTCTAAAAAAATTGTGACAAATTGATAGAATTATTCATTGAGAATATACAATATTTTATTAGTGTTTTACAATACCTAGTACTGTCGGGTAAGGAAACTTTTGTTAAGGTTGATTACGACTTTATTACACCTGGCAATCTATACCTCAATTTGTTCATATTTAACAACATTAAACTTTTTAACTTTGATCAACTTTAACTCCGTACCTATTTATCACATTTGTAAATGTGATATATATTTTTTCATGCGAAATTTCATTTATCCATGCGCGGATGAAAACTCCTTGCTGATTAGATATAAGCAACTACATCAACAATTGGAGGCCAATTAACTGGCTCATCCTACCTACTAGTGCTAATAAGGTTAAAAGAAAGGATGCGTCGAGCGCGACCCCCCAATTCTACTTCACTAAGCCCTGGATTTCCTTAATTACATGTTTTTGAATTTTTCTCATAGATTGTTCAATGTATGTTGAAGATGGACCCACTTGAAGAAAGTGAGTCCAATAACTTTGATTTTTGGTTAGTGATCTAGCATTGATGACTTCTAAAAAAAAAGGTATATTAGAGTATATCTAGATACCTTGCTATTAATTTTTTAGACATTAAGATAAGTGATTGTCCCCGCTCGTCTCCTAGATCCATCATTCCACCTACCTATTTTTTGGATTGGAACTATTCATTCAAACTCACTGCCAAATTCATTTTTGAAATCTACTTTTATTAATTCACTTGGATTTTGATATGAATTTTATTACCAAATGATTGTTTCACTAATTTCTATGTAGTGGTTCTACAATGATGGTTCTTATCTCAAGTATAATGATGCCCCTATCTATAGAGAGCATCAACAGAACTAGGCACTAATTTTATGCCACTTTACAACCTTTTATAATATGTCAACTTGAAAAAATAGAAAAGAGCTAGTAAAAAGAATAGAGCAATGCTATATGCATGGTCCAAATCAGAAACTTAATTCGTTACGGCCAATAGAATTGTTGTGAGTCTTAATGTTAGGTAAAAGCTCATTTTTTGTGAGTTTTAATGTTAGGTGAAAATCACTTTTAATCTAAGAGTTATGTACAAATCACATTTTTCAAATGAATATATTGCGACTATTATAACATTTATAGTATATCAACTTGAAAAACAGAAAAGAGCAAAAAAGAGTGTATCTTTATTAGGAGTGAGTAAAGGTGTTGGGAGAAGATCACCATCTATTAAAGCAATATCTTTTTCTCCATTTAAAACTGAGGATCCTAGGTTAAAGTGGATAGAATGTATCTTTTGTTGGATCGAGGAGAAAAATGCAAGATATGGAAAACAGATATTCCGTATTCGATTCTGGGCTTTGAAAAATGCAAGATATGGAGAAGTTAGAAATTTTTACCTCCTGACAGTGAAACTAACAGAGCTACCCATGTGATAGATTTGTCGGACAAGGACATGGTTGTGGAGAGGTCTCCCGGTAGGAAGAGAGCCACCCCATGTTGTCACGTTTTGAGGGTAAAAATCAAAAAAGAATATGGCAATGATAGACAAGAAGACTGTGCAAGAAGAAGAGAATGATGAAGTAAAACTATTCGACATACTCACACAAGTACATGTAAACGCTGAGAGAGAGAGAGAGATCAAAATCTATACAAAGGGAGATTTGTCATTGTACCTGGAAGTCATTGCAGATAGCAGCAGAAGCTGCAACATTAGTACCGGACTGTTGTTTTGTCTCCATTGTTCTCAAAATACAGAGAGAGAGAGAGAGAGAGAGAGAGATTTATAGAGTAGTAAAATATGTGTGGAAAGGAGTACTTGTTATGAAAACACCAGAACTGCATGACAGCCACCAGTAAAACTCGCCCTTATAGTCCATTTAATAGAAGGAACGAAAAGTTAAAAAGATAGAAAAAATATATATAAGAGATCAACTTTAATCCTCATAAGATATTTTTTATTTTTGTATTTGGTAAGAAGATAAAAAAGTGAAATGAATAGATTTGTTTATTATCTTATTTGGTATTAAAAAATAACAAAATATTATTTGATAATGTAAGATTTGGTTTGCACTGCCTATCAAAAGTTCAAACACCCAATAGATTCCCTGGTTACATGGTAGCCCAAACAGTCAATTCGTAGTCTGCCCACCCTGTCGTAGGAATGGGCCATAAGTGCTACAACCCAAAGAAGGGAGTTTAATGACGCCCATCGATATATACTTGTTTGGCCACATTAAGCTCGGCAAAGAGCAGCCCGAAAACAAAGAACTCGATATGCGTTAGATCCCGAGCATCTCTTGTCACGCCACGTGTCCAAGGGATAGCTTCTAGAGCCCCTAACGAACACGCACTCCCTGATAAAGGAAATATTTGTATGTATACCGTTTTTAAAGATTATAAACATAACTTGTGTCAGGGTGACAGACACCATTACATGACCAAGGAAGAGGGGATCACAGAATCAATCAAAAAAAAAAGAATCATAGAAAACTCTAGAAAAATCATATGTATAAATAGCATACAGATGCACTATATAAGAGAGTTCTAGAAAATTGTATTCACAAGACACCGTATACAAA